TATATATATATATATATATATATATATATATATATATATATATATATATATATATATATATATATATATATATATATATATACAATAATCTTGGAATTCAAATGTTAAGTCTGAAATTAGCTTAATCATCTCTAATCAAAATCAAATTGTATCCACAGAGAAGTTTAAAAAAAGGAGCACAAAAGATTGAATGTTACAATATGCCAGAGACAAGAAGCAGCAGCTTCAGAAATAACGCTGTAGCTGAACAAATGTTACAGCTACTCACTGGCGCTTCCTCCGCAATCCTCCTGCGCTTTTCCACTCCTCCTTTAACCAGTAGGCTCACCTCACTGATGACGATAGCGAGAATGATGATGACGATGACGTGTGTGGCTTAGGGAGTCCGACCTAGCTTCTATCTTATTCTTCTGCTCTAGCCTTTCGTAATTGGTCTCATATTCCTACGTAACAAAGCTATCGCCATGAATACGTTTGTATTTGAAATCCAGAAGATTTGACGCATTCTTTGCTAAGCAAGTGAATGAAGAAAAGTCCAATTTTCATTTGAATCTATGTTAAAAAATAAAAGTGACCAGAAGTAGCCTTGCAATTGCTTTAAATACACTCTACAGAAGATTATTACTATTCTGTTTTCAAATCCGAAACAAGTCCATGCTGACTAGTGGAAAGCAGTGCTGCAATAAGGTCGTATTCTTCGCCTCACTTTGAAACTCCCTACAATTAAATGAAATGATCACTAAGGTGTATAATTTCCTAGTCAGACAAAACAAATATTTAATTTTTGTCATCTATGGTATCAATCGAGAGTACTATTTGTCTCCAACGAAGTTTCGTCGTAGTTGCTGATTACAAAATGATTGCGCTTTGATTTTGGAGATTTTCCAAACTAAGAAACGCAAAAAATAGCTTTGAAAATAATTTTACTTTATGGAAAAAAATATTGCAAGCTATATGGATGCGGTGTTGACGCAATGATCACAATGATATTACGACATGTCTCAGTATCTCTTATCCACTAGCATTTCTAAGAACTCCTAAATTTTAATTTTACTGAGTGATCCAAAACTGAACCCATCCCGTATTTATCGTGAAATTCAGCTATCCATCAACTTTGTGAATAATCGGCAAATTGCCATTGTGTCACTCATTCTTAACAAAACACTTTTGAAGCTTCCGCTACTTAGTTCGTACTTGTCCAGCATAGGGACAAAGTACGAGGGTAAGAGAAATAATAAGATCGCTTGGAGATTCATTTTGAATTTCGTAAATTTTTGGATGAAAAGTCAAACAGTTCCCTATCTTCACTAATGCTTCGATCATTTTCCATAGGATTTGTTTAGACTTAGTCTACGACTACGACTGGGATCGAAAATCCAACATTATCCTGAAACTAATTTAAGTCGGAATTTGTCTTTGTCTTCTGAAGATTCTAAATTTCATAAAATATACCAAGTAAGATTTTCCCATCAGAATGGCTTACCGCAATGTTAATGTGAAACTTGTGTGATTTTCAATGACTTTGATTTTTTTAGCCAATTAAGCTCAAAACATTAATGCCTTCTTCTCCAATTATAAATGACTGTGAATGTTCAGTTCGCATTATATCATTTTGAATAAAGTAAGAATATCACTTCCAAAGTATTGAATCTCTGTTATGAGTTATGAAATTGTCACGTGACTCAGCTCTTTGTGACAAATATTTTCCTCGAAAATATATTTTAGTCTATTTTGTTTCAACAAATTTCGAAAAAATCTTGGAAGATTTTCAAACTACTTTTCGAAATTCCCTAGGAAAAGGTGAATCTTTAACAAAAGAACCAAATGAAGTTTTTGCTGTTAAAGCTTTTTCTATTTCTTCTATAGTTCAATACCGTGAAATTACAAAATATGCAAGCAGTGTAAGGTAACTGTATCTGTGCATCAAATCCAGCTATCCGTTAAAAGAAAGTACTGTCTGAGGTATAATTTACAAACAAATGCAAACTATGTTTTAAATGAATAATCTATGAAAACATAACTAACTATTCCGCAAGAAAACAGATGCCTTAAGCTTAGAGAAATATTCAAATGCAGTAATGTGATGTATTTTCAGAATTTATTTCCTTTTTTTGAAACTGGAACATTCTCCTGTCGATTATCGCTTCCATGGAAATGTCGAAAAAGCTATGCTAAAATGTTAAAATTAGTTCACGCTTTTTCATTTCCTGATTTGTTCCTGCATATTCCCATCATTGCGGTTGACTTACCGGCTTCCGTAACGTTATTTATGCAAATATACATTTCAGTTAGCTTGAAATGCTAAGGATACATTTCGAAGCGAGCGATGGCTAGAGTGAAGTTTGTGCCATAATGTGGATAAACAAAGATCACTTACAAAATTATGGTGTAACGAAGTGGTGAACTTAGTATTTTTACATAAAATGTGTAGCTAACTAAGGGAAAAATATGAAACTGTCAACTGTCAACTGAATTATCTCATTAAAGAACATGTCTGCGCATTACTGTTTTACGAAGCTGACGAATTGACCTAAAAAATTCATGGATGAGCTGAGAATGCGGTCGATGGATGACCGGAAGACTGAAGTGGCATTCGGAAAAACAACGCCACTGATGGACCCATTTGTGTCATAATCCCCTGTTAGTTCTTGAAATGTACAAGAATAAGCTTCTGACCTTTACGGTCCCATTTACTGTGAGAAAATGCCCTACTCACTGCATTTGCAACCGCGAAGAATACCTGGAAATGCTGCAAGCTTACAAATCTTTGCATTTCTGAAAAGGGAAACGATTGTATCTCAATCATAAGTACGAATGTGATGAAGTCAGATAACACTTACAATCAGTGACATCACTTGGCTCTCCAAAACCTCTCTACAAAATGATATCAATGATTCTTTCTCATATTTATCACCACTTTCATTATCAGCAGCTACATTTTATATTTACTGTGACCGTGACTGTGACATATGTCATCTTTCTATTTATTCATCTACTGTTGTGGCAATCAATCCTGTATTCGCTACGTCTGGTAAACAAAAGGAAAGTGATCGTCGGGTCCATATCCATCATGTGTAGACGAGAGAGTACCCTTTTTTCTCTACATAGCCATAGCTCTATCAACCGATCGATCATTGGATGCTTGATGCAATGACTACTAGTAGTGAGGGGTTGTCCCTGTCTAATCTTTGTCCAGGGCCTTATCCAAGACCCGGGGAATAATTTTTGGCTGCCCTCCCAGGAGGGAGGGCAATTATTGGTAGCGGGGGATGTGTGGGTTTGTTGGGGTATCGCTTTCTACTGGTGTGGGTGTACGCACTATTGTCGCAGGCTTTAGGAATCGATTGAGAAATATAGTGTGTCCAGAAGTGCCGAATACTACCTGTTTTTGCCTGTGCATGCTGTTGTTGGTTGAGGATGTATTCCGAATTTACCAGTGAAACTGGCACCACAAAATATTGCCATTAAAATCATAAGATGTGAAAAAATGGCTTGTCTTCTACTTCAATCTTATTTTAATAAGAATGAGCTAAGTTTATCAAAATAAATGGCCGTTGTAACATCAAATAAAGCACAACAAAAGTCAACAAATTTTGAAATTATTATGGTCATGTCAGTAAGTTTGGTAGCAACAAATACAAGTGAGTAAAACATTTCCTGTAATGTTTCATTAATTTTAATCAAACTGCGAATAATTAGTCACTCTTCTTCTAGTACTACTACTTATTCGTCAACTTTGCTGCTTTGTTTCTTGACGCACTGTACCTGTTGTAACAGCGACACCTATTAAGGTGTTTCATGATATCATCCAGATGTCTTATGTTCATTTAGAATGATGATGTAAACAAATTTGCTAAGAATTAAATAGTAATTTATACAAAACTAGAATGGAAGTTAAAAATGCACGAGTAAATTTTGGAGAGATATCAATTTAAGATTTACATTTTGACAAATGAAACATTTCAAAGTATTGTGCTTCTCCCTTCAATATTTTTTTATTGTTAGAATGAGAAATAAGGTTTTTACAGCGCCCAGCGAGTAAAAGTGAAATAACCTAACTCCTGTAAATCAACAAGCATGTATTGCGTGCGCATAAAAGAGAAAAAGATTTGATTGCAAAAAGAACAGATGTATTTAAAATAGGTTTTGATTGCTTTTTGGTATTTTTAACTACGGTGAATAAGTTTATATAAGCATTAGATTCACTAAATGCTTGTAATTTGACTGAAATTATGCATGAAAATGATCCATTTAATAAACAGTAGAAATAAATTTAACATTTTTGTTTACAAGCCGGGAATGATAATTATCATGTTAATAACTAAATGTTAACTAAATCACAAGCCCGATTCCTTGTCAGACACGGCCAAATCACTTGCAACAACGCAAATAATTGCAAAAAACGCTATTCGATCTCATTCTGGCGTTCAGCAGTTTCATATAATGTGATATTATTTCTTGTTGTATCGTTGTTATAACAAGCATACCTCCTATTCAGTAAGATCTGTCATAATTCTTCATTATGATAAATCTTATTTTTCTTGATTTCAGTTAAAGTGAATGTAACTGCATAGAAAATGAAACCAAGGGTATGAAATTTCGATTCCATATTTTGTTGCTGAATTATTGGAAGTACTTGATTGTTTAGTAATTTATTATTTGCGCAAAAATGAACAAAAAATTTATGGCTTCCAATTGACAGGTTTAAGAGTGTCAGGCAGTATTTGAAATCAATGAATACTGCATGCCGTCCTGAAATGCTCCCTTACTATTGATTAATAAAGAAAATTTTAATCATGATCCGCACCAAAGTACTTATTTACTACTATCTTCCTTTGTTTGGAAAATTTTGCAAAGAAATGACATTTAGAGCCAAATCAGACGGGGACCACCTCCTCTGTTTGCAGACTTGTATCTACCTGGATACGCTTAGAGGAAAGAGTTTACTTCACATTTCATTGCCTTTCATGGTACCTTTGACTCTGTCAAGTGTCAATTCGTAATATTTTGTACGCTTTAAAGCTAAGTCAGTATAGCATATAAAAATATCGCCGATCATTGAACACTTCATACAGTTGTACTTTTCTAGGCTCGTACTCCATTAATCAATTTTACAACTTCTATAACTTAACGGTAGCATTTCCCTCAAAATTATGGAGAGAAAGAGATGAGGAGGGATGAAGAGTTTACGATTTCTCGTATTCGAAATGACTTTTAAGCAAATAAATACATAGCTTTGTAAGAATTAGTGCAAATGCTCCATGTAAGGTTAACCATGAAAATGATGCGATCCTGGGAAATATCCACTCGTTTATATAGCTTGCTAATTACCTGGACCTATTAGTAGATTCACTGCTAAACTCCTGCCTTTCAACCTGAAGGGGCTGGTGGAGATGGAAATTTTGCACAGTGAGTAGGACACTTCCCTTGGACTCTTGCCAGCGTTTTTTGGATTCCGGATTTGTTCACGTACGGATACCTGCTGACAACACTGGGGTTTTTGTGTCGCTAGGATACGTGTAGTGTCGCCGATGATTGGACACTTCATACAGTGCATACAGTGAAAGCATCGATAAATCAGTAGGAAAGAAGTGAAATATTTATTCTCGTGAGAAATGAAAGGAAATTAACAGAGATGTTGTGGCAAATTCGTTATTTTTCTTCACTTTAATCTCTTCTTTAAAATTATCTATAAGTGAAGTTACCGATAGGACAATATTAGGTAAAGTGTAGAGAAGTTGGATATTATTAGCCGATTATTTGTCACAGTTTTTAGTGGCGATGACAAGTAATGTTGACTTGTCGAAAGTGGATAAGATAGCACAAGATGCTTATAATTTGAGCGAAGCGTACCGATTCAAGGAACAAGCAAATGCTCGATACAGTGCGAAAGATTATGCGTTAGTTCTTTTTTCACATTTCCATTCTGCTAATTCATCTGTAATGGCAGAATTTCAGTGATCATCTTTGTTATGTGTTTCCATTTTTCTGTCTTTCAGTCTCTTCATTTTTTATAAAAATTCTTTAAATTTCAGTTTTAACTGGTTACAGTTTAGGCTTTTTATCCGATCGTAAAATATGCTGCTAATCATTCTTATCGTTTTTTTATTGACAGCAGAATAATCGAATTGGCCAAGCATTCTGCTATGTATAAAACCATCTTTGGATTCATTTCCCCTGATTCATGACGCATTTATTTTTGTTCTTAAATGCGTGTTTGAGTTGTAACTTATTGTTAACATTTATCTCTAATTTCATAGTTTCAGTAAACATCATGTGCTGTGCTGTTAAACATCCGTAAATCGACAATCATTATTTTTGAACTATAAGGAAGAACGGAAAATTTCTGACATTTTTATAAGTTGTGATTTCAGTGCGGCGATTTATCTATACCACCAATGCTTACTTCGTGCTCGAGCGATTCAACAACTTTCTCAGTTTGGATTGCAGAGTTAGTGCCGGCTGTTTGTTTCATCTTTTTTAGTCTTTTGAGTTACATCTAACGTAATATTTAAAAAAAAAAGAAAATGGGTTTTTGAGGTTTAGTGGATCGCCAATTAAAAGATTTGGCAACGATTTTTTTTTGCCAGAAACAATTGTCCTCTTTGTTTTGTAAAAGTTGTTTATGGATATGAAGCAGTGAAATCCGGATCATTGCATTAATGCTGCATTGAATATTGTTACTTTATTGATTTACTTTGGTGCGATCAAATATTATTGAAGTTTCGCTTTTTTTGAGGCTTGGCGCGTATGGAGTGCAGTGTAGATGAGTCTCTATGTGACCAGGAAAAAAGTGGGAGCGCACAAGGAAGTAGTAAAGTTTTTGATATAAGTGATGTTGCTGATGAATCAGCAGTAAGTTTTGTTTTGCGTTTGGTATTGCAACAGTTTGAAATAGTAGTTATCCCATTTTTATGAGTAGAGAAAGTTATATGAATTCATACAATGCAGTTTATCTTCTTACAATCCTCAGCGCTGAATATCGCTAAAAGATTTAGAATTTCAAAAATTTGTTGGATTTGTTTAAAATTTGCTGGAAGGTTATGATGACCAATTTGTGTCTGACTGGATTATACCTTTTCCTCTTTGCCTTATTCATAATATTCTCGTTGTTATTCTAATATCGATGAATTAAAAAAAAGAGAAGATGCAGAATGCCGGGAAATTTGGCGAAAGGCGTAAAAGAATCAGTTCAACAAGTCGGGGTGAAGAAATGAAAACAGAAGCAACTGATATCGCACTGAAGTGTTACAGTAATTTAGCAGCGTGCATTTTGAAGGGACAGAATCGTACAGAACCCGATTTTCTTCGTGCTGTGGAATACTGCGATAAGGTGAATTATAGTGATGGTAATATTAATTACTGTATGTAGATATTAGTTAGTATTCAATGTTATTCTCTTTGCCTAAATGATTCAAATAGTCTTTCAAAGATTTCCAGTAGTAATTTTAAGTTAAAAACAGAAAATTATAGGAAATTCGACTTCCTATATTTCATATGAAACAGATTTTTTTATAGGTTTTGTCAGTGCAACCTTCGAATGAAAAAGCCTTATACCGTAAGGGATTGGCGCTGTCAAAGGTAAACATGTACGAAAAAGCAATCGCGGTGCTACAAAAATGCAGTTACAGTAGTATATTTTTTATTCATTTGCTTCTTGAATGACGTTCGTATGTTGTGTAGTGGCGTTAATATCATCGCAATAACACAAGTGATTCTTTTAGTTCATTCTCTCAGTAATTTTGTCTGTTTTTATTTATTACTTAATAAGGTGCAATATAAAATAAAATAACAGCTTTATGTGGTAATTTGCGGTGGTAATTATTGATTGAGGGTTAATGACACCCATGCTGAAATCTTGTATCGAGTGAAAAATAATCTGAATCCGATAATTTTAAGATCGCGGAGCACAAATGGTTATTGATGAATGTCAACAGTTATTAGCAGAGGAACGACGACGACGAGATGATCAAATTCGGCGTAATTTTTCACGTGCATTTGGAGCTAGAGTAAATGGACAGCATGTGCTACAGGTTAGATTTCCATTCTCCTTAATTGATCATATCTTTGAAACTTCTTACCATGGATTTCTTGCAGTTGTTCTTAATAAATTATGTCTTTGAATCTTGTTGTATATACTCTGCAGTTTCAAAAATAATGTGATTTTTGATTTGTTTAAAACCTTTAGCTACCGGTAAAAGAAAAATTACCGAGTATGAGTTCTACATATTATATCGATCACTTTATAGATATAGACGATGTGCGATATGTACATCGCATGCAATGTGTTCTCTTTGGGTGCAATGCGCAGGATTATTTTTGCAACATATTTAATTTACTGGTCTTAAAGCAAGAACCAGTTAAACGTGGTTTGGTGATTTGATCGCGTACTTCATCATTGCAGGAATTTAATGATGGTTTTGCGAATCAGGTAATAACAATGAATGGGAATGCTAATGCAAATTCATCTACCGAGCACCACCTGAATCTTCAACAACAAAACTAATCTCATCCAGTTTTGTTGCATTTAGATTCTCTAAATTATAACGTGAGTTAACTTTGAGTAAAATCATCACTTTCAAGTAAACTGATGCAGATGTTTTTACCGTCTGTATCATCAGTGCCCTTGATAATATGTTTGCCGTTGTTCCGCCTATTAAATGAAAATTTTTGATATTTACAAATATTTATGCATGTTTGACTTTTATTTGGAAACGCAAATGAGTCGGAATAAAATCCGTGATTGAATGGTTATGTTCCAAACTACCATTTCTGAAGATTATTTCTTTTTGCATTTAATGTTTCGTGAGATTTATTTATAAGTTGTCAAAAAAAGAAAGGTAGACTTTAATATTTTGCCAATCACGTTGTCAAATGGTAAATTAAGATCAGTATTATAATATATGAGAATTTTGTCAATATAATGTTTAATCCTTGTCATGCCTCAAAAAATTTCCTTGTATTTAACCTTCGCGGGTTGTATACATTTCTTATGCGGGTTCCATGAAATCTTAAATAATAAAATGGAACAGTGGAATGGAAAATGTTCTTTGTCATGATCTTAAGTCATTGTTTGTAATAGTCGTCCACAAATTAATTTTATTATTTACTGAAGTTGGATAATTTTTGCTGGTCGCAATTTAATGTTGTCATTATGTGTAATTAATTGAATTTGATGTTATTGACAAATTTTATAGATTTACTTCCTGAAGAAATTCTGTTGCAATTTGTGTTGTCCTGCCGTAAATTTCTAACGATCGATAAGTTTTGCCATGAACGAACAAAATTCACTAAAGAAATTTTGAGCTGTAGGCCTGTCAGGACATCGAAATAATGCCCTTTATGTTAAATAAATCAGTGTTACATACCAGGGTTTTTAAGTCACTGAAGTGGCTTCGTTATGGTTTCTAATATAAATGATATAGTAGATTTTTAAAAAAAAGGTGTAATGGCTGTACTGCAGTGTAGGAGTTACGAAGGTGTCAGACCATAATAATTTAACTAATTTTCTGAAATTGTTGCAGTTGCTTACTTTTTAGTTGATCCTAAACAATACAACATTCCAGAAATGTGTGTAATGTGATTTGAATGAACTCTTAATTCTTTTGTTAACGTGTGAGACATCATTAAGTTTTGCCTCATATTTGCACACTTTGCACATTATAAAAGACTTGAACGGTTGTGAAAAATCATTATTAGATGAAGTTAGTTTCGGGAGTGCAGGATGGTAAAGCGCAAAAAATCCAAAGGGGTGAGTTTTTCTGGGATCTATTAAAGCATTGACAAGTTTCATGGGTAGCTAAAGGTAGAAATTTGAATAGGTTTGAGGTTTCAATAGCGATGTTTGTTCTTTGTCAGATGTCGATGTTTCTTGATGGTCCAGGTGGTGAAGTTGCTTTTTTCAAATTTGCGAAAATTTTGATGTTATGGATTGAAAGTACCGTCATTTTTCATATGGGGACACCCTAAACGAACTACCAACGTTTTACTGGCAAGAACTGTACAGTGCGCGTCAATGATTTGAATTTTTGGGGATAAATCTTGCAAATTAAAGAGGTCGGACAAGTTATCTGTACAGCAAGGTAGAAAGGATAGGAGTCTAGAGTGGAAAAAAAATAAGAAATGTTCTCGAAAACGAAGCGGAAGGATTTAAAAGAAGAAATATTCCATTCAATGGACATGGAATGGGGACAGAAAAAAACGATAAGAAATATTGTGAAGTAGCAAAAGAAGGTTCACAATGGCGTCTTGCATCTTGCTCAAGTCTTGCATAAGGGTACCTTGCATGCTTTATGCTAATTCTTGTCCAAACATAGCCGAGCAAGTAAGTAAGACCAGTATCACCTGAACTTTGTGAAAACTATTCCACTTATTTGAGTCTGTTCGAGTTGACCCGCTCAAAAGACTCGTAACATTTGCGAATGGTGAGATTCACGTATGGCAACTTGGCGATCTTTTTGAAGTGTTTCTTTTTCTGATTTCTTCTAGATGACCAATTCAGTTTTGATGCGACTGAAAAGTTCCTAAGTGCCTAATAAAATTTTTTAGTTTTCTATGATAAGTGCAAGCAAGGTGAAGAGACAATGAATAACTGAATTAGCTAAACGGTTTACTAAACGTCAAATGACAGATGACAGCAAATGATGAATATATAGTGTTATGGAATCATTCGTTCGGTTTAATAGCTGAACTTGAAATGCAGTAAAAAAATGAAAAAAAAACAGAAAATAACTGGAAAGAACTGTAGAAGAAAAGCAGGAGGGAGAACACAGTGGAGGAACTAGTGACGATGGCCACAGTAGAAGATGATGAAGGTGCGATATTGACAAGACCGAAGAAAAAATCAGGCCCTGATCAAGCATTGGAGAAATTTGCACTCGCTACTGTTGCTAAAAGTACTACTGATTTTCTCATATTTCATAATTTAAATCTGTGATCTATCAGTGGTACACATGGAAATGAAATATGGTAAATGGCAGATCTTTCACTTCAAGTTTCCTTTGATTGCCTTCAAAATGAAAAGAAAAATTTTGGAACAAATTCATTGTAGAACAGTGATTTTTAGATAAGTAGAAGTAATGAATAGCTGTTAAGAGATAATTTCCACTCATTTAATTTTCTTTGTGCAACCTTCCAACAGAATCGAATATTGGTTCGTAGCAAGTTTTAAATGGGTGCACCACTTTTCGTGATTTGTGATGTGTAGAATAAGGGATTAATGGAATGATGTAGTGCATCGAACAAGAACGATACCTCATAAGGTTGATGTGAAGGATTTGAAGTCTTTTTTTGATCACTAGACTTTTGAAATTTCATTCAGTATTAAGATCCTTCACTTGGTGTTATAACGAAAAACTTTTAAAACTGGAAATTACTTGTTCCTTCTTGTTACTTGACCAAATAATATCAAAAAACTGTTTGCCAAGATGTGAAGTCTTAACTAAAGGCATGGTACTCGATAGACTGACCTGCATTCTGTCGTGTAATTATAACATAACTGGAAGTTGGTTAGATAATTTAAATTTTCCACTGATTGAAGTATTCCACTAACTAAATTATAAATTTATTGAAAGCTTCCGTAGTTTTAAATTTGTCAAAAAACAGTTCCGTTTCTTCAAGAAATAGATGGTTTACGAGCAGAGTTTGCAACGCTGAAAACGTTTGTGCCGACAGTAACGTCACAAGCAGCATTTGATCGGAATAAGGATTGCAACCGATACAACAATATCATTTGTTACGATCATACGAGGGTTGTATTGAAGTAATTTGATTACCATTTATGCAACTATTTCATGTTTCTTTCCATTTAATATGTTCTCGCAAGCATTAAGAAAGTCTGGCAGTTGCACAAGAAAGAAGTGTGTTTAAATTAATTGCAGAATGTCTCTTTTCATAGGTTCAATGTACCTCCGGATAGAGATTATATCCATGCTAATTATGTTCGAACATCGCTCTGCAATCTTCCTAACAATTTTATTTGTACACAGGTGTGAAAAGCTTTTCTTATGAACACAGGTCAACGATGTCAGTCGAACTTACCCTATTTATTATAGCACGGATTCTACATACAGCAATGCAGACGGTACTAGTATACCTGACGTACGTTAGCGCAGTTTGTGCAGGATACCGTTGAACTTCATAGTTGATAATTTATAGATTTTGTCACTATAAAAATAAAAGTGCTGAAGGGCCCAATGGATTCGACGGTAAATGATTTTTGGCGGTTAGTTTGGCAAGAGAAGCCAAAAACTATCGTCATGTTGTGTAAAGTAATAGAATGCGGTAAGCAAAAATGCTCCCAATATTTTCCATTGAATCAAGGTGAAACAAAGCAATACGGGAAGGTTATCGTCAAGAACGTCCGAAAAACTTCATCACCTTCGGAAAAGGTTAATGGTTTCTTAAAATTCATAGAACAAAACTGCTTTTCGGGGAGCTATTTTTATAATGAAATTATTAAGGAGGATGTCACATTTCCACTATTACCATAACTTCTTAGTCTGATGATTTTGTTTTTAAATATTACTGGAGAACTCGTCAGGTTTTTGAAGCAATTCAAATGAACGTCAATGTGAAAGGAAATACGGCAGTTGTATTAACGCTATTTAAATGGTTAGACTGGCCAGGTAAGGTGGACGTTTTGTTTTTCTTTTTCTTGAATTTTATATAGGATTTTATTCTTTAAAATTTTCCATACATTTCCGAAACACTGAGTGTTTTTCAAGTTTTCCGGCTGTAACTAGCTTTTTAAAAAATTCAGACCTTGAAAATAATTCATGGGAAAAAACTTTGAAAAATAAACTGGTTATGAAAATAAAATTCATTTGAAGTAAAATACGTCAACACACAAAAACGTTATAATTCTCAGCTTTCTAACAAATTCGAATTCTTAAAACCTTGAATCTGTAGAGAGTTCGAATGAAATGCTTTTTAAGAATACTTTTTAAGAATTTAAGAAGCACTTTTCAGGAATAATAGTCCATCTTCCGTTCACTCCTTAGACGAAAGAGTAATTTCAGATTTCGGAGTGCCAACTTCTGGAATGGGAATGCTGCGAATACTGCGACAAATTCGGGATCAGCCTCGGAGCACAGCGATTATTCACTGTTCGGCAGGTGTTGGCAGATCGGGAACAATAGTTGCATGCGAGATCTGCTTGAAGATCCTTCTTGAAGGAAAAGATCTCAATGTAAGATTTACTATTTTGGTCCTTTAAAGCAGCATCACAACAAAAACGGTGTAATCTGATTTCGTTTCTAAGGAAGTTTTGATATGATTTCGTTTTAGCCACTTATTTACTGATTAACCATGAAGTCGATCTTTTCTTGCTATTGAAAAACAAGGAATTAAAATCATTCCTGACTACAACTAAGTAACGAATCTTACTCAGTCTCTTCATTTTCGTTGTGATGTTCCTCAAGTCCCAATAGTCCAGAAAATGGGATGACGTGTTACAACTTCTAGAGCACTTTCTAATCCTTATTTCAGGTGCTGGATGTCATAAAAGAAATGCGAACACAGCGAGCTGGTGCCGTGCAAACGGAAGGGCAGTATGTATATCTGCACAGGACACTCTGCGAGTATATAAATGCTAAAAAAATTGCTAAAGAGAAAATTGCTGAATTCTTTACTTCTTACTTGACTTATGCAAGCAGTTGTAAAGGGGAATAAATTCTTTCCAATGTTATTATTAATGAGAAGGATGCTTAATGAATGGTACAGCAACATCTCTTGAACATACTTCAAGTATCTCAAATTTTCAGAATTCCAAAAAAAAATCGATTCATCAATTGTCAGATTATTGTGCATCAAATAATTTTTCGAAACACGAAATGAAATTTGAACAATGAAATCTCGCATTACTTCATTATTGCTGCTCAAATAAATAAATACACCTGGTGACCTAAATGGTTACCGAAGCAAAGTATTAATTCTATCTAATTATGTGGAGAAAATGGTCATACTTAGAAAAGTATATGCTCACACAAAAACTTCCCGGAGTAATAATGTAAATTAAATCTTGATCGTGTGATCGAACAGTAATAAAAAATATAAAGAATCGCTATATATCGTTGTCTGAACAAATAGCGAAGGGTTTTTTACCAAATTTTCATAATCTATTTTGAGGTTGTTCCCTCATTAAACTCTTTTTAAATAACGAATGACCCAAAACATTTTCTGAAGGCAATTACAAAACGCTAAGTTGAAAAATAAACACAGAATAATAAGGCGAATTGATAGAAAAATGAACCAAATTGATATTAAATGGGGATAAATTTATCGGCTGATACCCTATACAGCTCTACAGTAAACCAAATGCAACATTATTTTACAGAAAGCAATAGTTTGAAGGTAACATCACTTCCAGATGGAGTAGCCAATTGATTAATGTGGTACTAGTTATGCACCAAATATAAACGTTCCCAATTTCTCTATACTCCAAATCATAAATTATCTTTTGCATAGTATGCTATAAATATGACAAGAAAAATTATTTTGAAAATTTCAAAAAATTTTACTGACATTTTGAGTGTTTTGAAAAGTAATTTATTCACATGATTATTTCTCATTTTTGAAAATCCGATGTCTTGGAGTATTTACGGGTATTGGAAGTTTAACAGCAAACTCTTTATTTTTTGAAAATTTATTTAAAAAATTAAAGACACAAACCTATGAAACCTGATCTAGATGGATATTTTGTGTTAGGAGTACTGCCTACAGCCTCTTCAGATGCATATTCTTTAATCATGCATACCTTTGAATTAAGTAAGATTTGATTGGTCGACTGCTACCACTCAACGTAGCATTAACAGTACAGCTTCTGCATAGTTTTTGATAGTTATTCTTTGAGACTGAATCAACATCCATGTCACTACAACAGTCTATGTTTCTCTTCGTCGTAGAAAATGTGGAACGTGGTTGCATGGAACCTGTACGCCGATATCTACGAAATAACAAATTCCCATTTAGTAGAAGATTTTTATTTTCCAATCACCATTTTTTAATCGTTTATTTTTTTGCATTTAAATATTTTTATGAAATCTAATGTTGATCGAATATTCTTGGACAGCAAGACAGTTCTTATTATCTGCTGTTAAATGAACTGTAAAATGCCAGTGAAGTGTGTTACACCTTGAAACCTTTTTAAACATATAAGTATCAAACCTTGTCATGATTTTCGAAACACAACTGTGTGTTACTCCAATAATGCGAGCAATATGGCTTATTCTGTGACCTTTTTCGTAAAGTTGTAGAATTTTTTGCCTTTCTTCCATTGCCAGCGGTCGACCAGGATTGTATGGTCGTCCAAGTTTATTCTTTGCTTGAAAGAATGATAAAAACTCAATCTACAGTTTACTTGGAGCAGTTTTTGCAAAAGAAGACACTAATAATTCATAGAAATACCAGTAGGCAACTAGCCAAGTCCCGGTAAGGAAGACTGCACTTAATACAATGGCTTCAATTATAAGAGATACGGTAGAAAGAGCAAACTCTGGAAATGGATATAAAATCTTAAACACATATTTGACCTGACCCGTTCTCATGATTTTAATACAATATGACTAATAGCAGCGGTAAGTGATATGCCTATGACTATAAAAAATCACATGGATCAGTCGAGAAAGTGAGCAACGTACAGGATGTAGTCAGCGGCATTGTAGCGGTAATTAATTTACAAGGACTTGTAGGTTGTACTTCTTTCTTCTTCATACTTTCGCATTGTATCAAAGAATTAATGATATATGAAGTTGGCGGCAAAGCATATGGCAGTATGTATTGTTGCGCTTCTATTGGAACAATGCAAGATAGAGTTGGCATGAAGCAGTGAACATTATCGTATCCCTGAAATGATAAGATATGCATTTTATAAATCCTACCAGTTATCATTTGTTGAGAATTGGTTAAGCCTTTATTTTGCATTGTTTTTTAAAGCAATTATATTCCGTAAAGTGAATGATTTGAGGAACTGTGAGACGGAAAAACAAAGCAAACCTATTCTGGAAACCTATTCTCTATTATCTTCAATGTATTCTCGAACAAAAACAAAAACAAAAAAAACCATGGTAGCATTGACTTTTTCGGATAATATTTGCAGTGACGATTGGTGCACTCAGTAAAGTGACCATTCTTACTTAGTTCTTGAAGAATTGGAAGCATGTATAAGCCAACATATTTTCCACAATGTCTAATTATCATAAATGAAAAAACACGGGGGAAAAAATGAATGAAGCGTTAAATGATACATGAACACAAACAAAAACCTCGTCGTATATTTACCAAATGTGTTGTGGTTATAAAGTTATTCATTGGTCAAAATTTTAAAAAATCAAATCATTTTTCTATTAGTTTATACAATGTTCCTGAAAGTGAACAATTTTTCTGTTCTTTCATGTAACCTCGAACTTCCCAACTTCCAAATTATTTATCATTTAAACAGTGATTTGAGCCCCATCCATCTTATCAGTCTGAAAGTTCGTTTTTTCAGTCTTCATAAATTTCTAAACTTTGTTGAAAACCATGACGCCAAATCATTTCCTCTGTCCTATAATATTATCATCAGGACTATCATGATCGTCCGGTTAGTCAGTGCAATGCTTATACCGGCAATTTTCAAAAGAAATTCACAATTATTAGCTACCATGCATTTCTTTTTCATCACCCATTGGTTACTGATAACATTTTAGACTATTTGACCTCAGCCAAATCGGTCGCCTTTCCAGAATTTGTGCTATTGTGCTATATCACACAAATGTTGATCTGCTATATGTGCTATATCACACAAATGTTGATCTGCTATATGTGCTATATCACACAGATAAAAATGGTCGCCTTTCCAGAATTTATGCTAATTAGTGCTATATCACTCAAATGTTGTTATTTTGTACCAAAAGAATGTAAGAGTTCCATAACAACTGGTATCTTTAACATTATATTGATATTAAGAGCTCATCTTATTGCAAATTTCTTCAGTTTTTACTGCTTTAAGCCCTTTGAAAATAATACTTTTTATGTTTGAAAATTTTAAAATGGAAAGTCCAGTTTCGTTGTATTCAAGAATTCAAGAAGCTACTGGAATTGTTTGAGGAGGAAGGCGACACATCGTTTTTCCAAACGTCATTTTTTATGAGCGCCATCGTTCCACTTCCATTGTTTGTTAAAAATCTCTCAGATATCTTCTCATTTCACTTACTTTGATATTCATGTTTCCATACAAAGATCTTCGGTAGAGTCTGATGCACTGAAAATAGTTAAATGTCGGCCTCTCATTTCGTTTTTGTCATCTCTTTCCCAAAGCAAGTGAATTGCAGTTTTTATCTCTGTTCTTCCCATCCAGTTCATCTGCTCTTCATGGTCCTAACGAACTCTGCCGAAATAAGTCGAATTCCACATTTGTTGCTCCCATTAACAAATATCCAAAGAAGAAAAGACCGAGAGCCGCTTTCTGCTCTGTTCCGCTTAATTTAGCCTCGATTCACAGTAGGAGAATGCAATTTGTGGTAAAGATGATGGATGGCAATGCTTTCTTGTGAACATGAAAACAAATATGATAATGGAAACTTAGGTGAAATAATTTACTTTTACATTAGGCTTTAGCTGTGTCTCGCTTATAGTACTATTCAAAAATCACGGGATATACTGCTTTACCATTAAAGTGATCGATATTAAATTTGATGCAGGGATATTACAATAAATACAATGTAGCTCCGTTGTACTATCAGTTATAAGCTGTCTTATCAGCATAAAAAATATGAGCTTCTGAATGCAATAATCATCAGTAGAAAATTCCAAAGAATTTAAAAGTTACCTCCAAAGTGTTGTTGCCTCAGGTAAGGATTTTTGAAATTTTCCGAGTTTTTAAAATCCCGAACTTCATACGCAGAGTTTCGAAACGGAGAAAGATAAAAGACATTTAAATCTTTCTTGCAACAAATGTCATTACTTCGGGACAAAGTGCCGAGGAAGCAGTAAATATGGAAATATGAAGATGACAACAGGTAATATTACAAATAGGGAGGTCCCAACACATAGGAAAAGCATATATTAATGTTCCAAAGTATATGACTGAAGTTATTGTTTACAGAAATTATTCAGAAGAGTTTCTTTTAAAGTAAAACGAAGAAGTAATGAACGTAATATTTGCAAGAAAAAGCAACTTACCGTTGTTAACAGCAAAGAAGTGTAATCGATCTGCGAGTTGTGGATCTGAATTTCATGATCTAGTGTCATCGGAGATGCAATTATATTTTGTGCCAAAGCCATGGACCGTGTATATGATACCTATGTAAAATTAACTATAAAGCTAAGCTCAGACTAGCAAAGTTTTTTAAAGTACCATAGCAAAGAACAGCAAATTATTTCCTTAAAACCAACCAAACCAAAAATGACTTTTAATTTTATGGAAATGTTCACATGTATACATAATTTTTGATAAAAGCGTTCTTGTTACATTGATAAAGATGGGATGGAAATCTCTAAGTGTTTACCACAGATTCTTCCCTTACTTCCAAGACAACCGAACAAAAGTAAATAGGAGGATAGATGTTATTTTGGGTATGTGTACTGCTGACAGAACAGATTTTCTAAAAAAGGAGATATCGGGGGAGTAGCCGGGAGGATATGCATGATTGTGTGTATATGTGTGTGTGTGTATGTGTGTATGTGTGTGTGTGTGTGTGTGTGTGTGTGTGTGCGAGTGTTTGTTTCGTCGAGTTATCGTTCCTTTCATCTGTTCCTCTCTATCTGCTTATCATATCAAGTGTTACGAATAGCAAGCTAGAAACAGACTATATTAAAGTTGCTTGTGAAAACAAACAGGTCTGGACAGGTAGTCGAAAGCTATCTAGAGATTTGCTTTTTTATTATTTTTCTGATACTTCTTTGTAAATACCTGTTGTCCTCTCTGACCATTCGTGCTGTCCCTAAGCATTCTATCCTCCCTTCTTCTAATCATTCAAGACAAGCTATGTACCACGACACCGAAACACCGAATTGATGATACTGCATACGTAAAGAGGATGGAGAAGCTTTTTACCACTTTTAGCTTGCATCGCAGCTTCATCCTTTTTCTGCCACATGTTTTGCTGATAACCGGATTGCAACTCATGGACAGAATATCCGCCATACCCTAAGGGGACAATTCAGTTGATTGCTATTGTTGCACTTCTTGAGCTCAAGAGGATGAATAGATCGATGGTATTATTGCAGTTGAGATGAAGTGAAACGTGAATTCAATTAGCAAACGCATCAAAAATGCTGAACTGCTTCATATTTCTTGCATATTCCTATACGTTATATGAAACATCATCTGCCTGTTCATGTCACAGTATTTTATCTTTTTCCATCTCTCAAATTGCCAGCTTCTCTTACAGGTGGTAAACAACACTGCCATTTGCGAGTCACCGTAACTGCTTCTGCTACTGCTTACTTATCGTGTAATTAAAAGTTTTTTACTATAAACCATATCAAATATACAAATTTTCTACTATCGTGTGAGCATAATATAAGTTAAGCAAAAAATGTCGAAGCATAGCAAAATTACAACAAAACACTGCAAAAATTATCAGTTCAGTCAAAAAATCAGGATTTATTGATGATAAATATTGCTCTTTTTATTGGCAGACTGTCTTCAATAAATATGTCAAAACTAATTTTGTATATTCCTTTGTTTAAAATTCAGTTTTTAATTTACTTTTCGGAGTACCAAAAATTTCCCAACATCAAAGGTTTTAACGTCAAAACCACAAAAGATAAATTCGTTTAACAACTGTGTAGAAAGAGTAAAACAAAAGGCTTGCATTATCTTCCCGATCAAACTATTCATCTATCATATTTTCCATAAATTGTTTGTAACAATTGCCCTATGAAGACAGAAGAGCAGAATAATTAGTTTAGATACAGCAATAAGTTATTGCAGTTCTGATCAAAATATTTAATGAATTTCGAAATACTGTATTAATACACATATGTCAAATATTGTTGCATTATGACTGACCAGTAGAATAAGAGATTTGAAGTTTGAAATGAATTTCATAACATTTTCCATACTTAACTCTTCCTGTTGATGATACTTCCTACCACTGTCATTTATAAAATCTCTTATATCCTTCAAACTGAACACACACACAAAAAAAAAGAAAAAAAAACAGAATTTTAATATAACTGCGAGGTTATTTCAATGATTGCCCCTCAAACAACAAGCTGTGTGCTACAATCGGCTACTTATGACTTGTAGTACAAAGGTTAATCTTCCACTAATTAAACATGGATTGCCTGTTCCAAATTTTCGATAGTTTTGTGTCTGTTATTTATGGATAAAATCAAATCAAATAAATTTAAGAAAGTTAGCTTTATAGTTTCGATGGATGCAAATCATTTTAAAACACACACCGACAGACTTATCACTAGATTGTATCATTCAAATACTTTAAGCTGAATGATTTCTCTATAACCTGATTATTTCTCAAATGTGACAGAAGAGATAAACGAACATTGAGCATTTCCGAAACATCATTTATCAGACAGCAGAAGGTTCACTACTCGAACCTTCTAGCCCTCCTTCATCTTCATCAGCTGTAATACTGTCCACGATACGTGATAGCCGTTCTAAGGAGCTTTTCTTGCCCGATGTTTTCCCTGAAATTCATCGACTTTTCACAAATTGTTTCGAGATTCAATTTAAATAAAGTATTGAAATATAACTTGACATTTTGGATGCAAATGCGTGAAAAATATTTCAGATTAAAACGTCTGTTTTTAAAAATTTCTAAATCGTAAAGCAAATATTTGATTTTTCATCCTTAATGAAACGAAAAAGAAAGATATTTTAAAACATCTTTTCAAATTTTTGGAAAATAAAATTCGGAAGAATACGATCTATCCCCGTGACATTAAGGACTTGTTTAAAAAGAAATTTTAGGTCAGGTAGGAACAACTGACGCACATTACACCACTGTTGCACACTGCTCTTCTGCTTGAATCTCTACTTTACTTATGCTAATATATACATATCAAACTATTCTCCTAAATTTCTGCAAATCTCATATTCTCTTCTTTTGTCCATGCTTTATTCTCTCTTAACCTGTGCATTTCAACTTCACTTCTGGTCCTATCAATTTCAAAGGAACTCATTGCCGCCTTTTTCTGTAGTGATCTAGTTTAAAATCTCTTTAAGCACTCTTTGAAATAAAATGAACTGATGAATTATGGAGCAACTAAAGCAATGGAAAGACATCAATCATTGAAGACTTTAATTCTTCAAGATGACTGATGTCAGTACAGTACACCAAATGGGACAATTTCTAAGATTTTAATGGAAATCATTGGAATTTTGCTTTGAAATAGCTCTGAACAGAAAAGAAAGAAGAAAATAACTCTGTTTCTCTGTTCTTTTCTTGGCCGTTTAGAAATAAAATTGATTTGGTTTCGTAAGACATTATTGATGCTGCTCATCAATGAACAGTGCTAGTAAGCAGTAGTAAATTTATACATACATTACCGTGCTCAAACTAAATGTAAACAGATGATTACTGTACTCGAAATGTGAACCTAACTTTGAGGGATCATGTATTTGAAATAAACTTATTGTACTAATTCCCTTCATATCCGATTAGTTCAGAGAATATGGAGAAAAAGCACAATTCGTTAACATGCAGTTGCCAAAATTTAAGTATTTCAATTTTTAAATATCTTTTTGTGTATATGCAATTGCAAAGTAAAGACAAGCTTCATAGTGCACCGCTATGTCTAATACGGATGAGTGAGATATTTCCGGTTTGAAATCCAAGAATGCCCGGGATTAGCTGTTAGCTGGTAATCTTTATCTAGCATCTACTTAAATTGCTGAAAAAAGAGTGGAAAGAAGCCTGTCTCAGTCATAAGCAAACATTATTTCCCAAATATTTCCTCTTTTTGCCTGATAATGTATTCATGAATGACAATAAGGCACTTTTAATTCCAGAAGAGCAGTGCGTTTCATCTTGAAAAGGTGTGAAACAGAACATCCTCCTCAGGAACTGCTAAGAATTGAAAATACGGACGCATGTTGTATTAGAAGTTAAGGTCAGCGACAGTATTGTGAGAATCAGAAGTACTGCGAAGTACACTGAGATAGTTCTATTAGTCCAAAAGACTGGAAAAATAAGTTACTAGTGCTGAAAAATGGAACCGGTAAGAATTAAGGGTCAAAATGTTATGCCATAAAATATTAGTTTTCAAAGTTGATGATAATTGTTTTCTTCTTTTAATGAATGCCAATTTAAGCAGTCCGAGAATACAAAAAATCAGTTTTGTGGTTACACCAAAGATTTTTATTTCAAATCTGATTCATAATAAAATAGTTTTCAAATTAAAATCTGAAACTTTTATAACTTATGGCTTTGCTTTCAATTACTGAATCTGACTTGCTTCATGAGAGCTTTCGCTGGTGCTTACACTTCCGAAATCTTCATTCTCTTCCGTAAATGTTCCCATTTTGCTATCGTAGTAAGCTGCGGCTGAACCATTGCTGGATGTATTATGTACAGACTGCAAGTAAAAAGGATTCATATGCTATTTGTTTTCAACTGTTGTAAAATAAAAAGCTTATTTTGAACATCATTGATGGACATACAGTCCAAACTGCTTATTAATTTCATTTTAAAATATGAAGCTTTATAATACGAAACTGAATTCCACTAATAATATAAAATAGTAATTTCAAGGGAAAATCAACTGGATTATCTGTTCAAAATTGTTAAAAACTGATATGTTAGCTATCTTCTTCAATTAATGGTATGACCATTTGACATCGAATTCACTTCAAAACTTCCTCTACTTTCAATTTTAAAACAAGCTTTATTATCGCCCATTGGTAAATAAAATTTTTATATAATAAATTAAAAAAGTTGAGAAAAAAAATTTTCTCAGCGTATTGGACAGATATCCCAGCAAATAAATCATTGATATGTCACATCCACAGCTGCTATAATGCAGTAATAAATTTTTCAGTGATGATATTTGGCATACATTACAAGAACCAAATTTCTTACAGTAGCTAATTATTTTGATTTTTGACTTTTACATTGTTTATCAAGCTCATTTGAAGATGAAAAGTAAATAGAGTAGAGTTAATGAGTAAATCATGTGCTGCTCAAATTATTGGATATATTAATTTAATGCAGAATCGTCTTGAAGTGTTCGAATCAATCAGTGATAAAAATCAAGCTGTTTAAACTTAAGTTAATTTTTGTAGCTAAGAAACCTGCCCTTGGCAGTGACGGATTTCTTTTTACCGTCTTCCAGAAAAGTTATGCAAATTTCTTCTAGATGTCTACTTTTCACTTCACAAACGAGATTTCTATAACTTCTGGCGGCATACCTATTCTGCTTAGTAGCATTCTGGAAAACCTCATTAGGATTATGCCTCCTCAGGTACTTTGAAAGATCATTCGTTCTTAATCCACTTTTGGATAAATTTTTGTATTTCACTATTGTTAAGTGTGTCTGAGATTTTTTCCAGCAATTAATCTTAACACATTTATTAAATAAATTAAGGCTTTATATTTTTTAGCAAGTAGCTTTTGGTAATTTCCAACAATTTTTTAAAGCCTTGTTTAAAAAACAATCCATCAGCAGTGTGTTCCTATGATATCGTGATCCCTCAACTTTCCAAAAAAAAAATTGGTGAACAGAAATTGGAACAAACTAACGACATAATCTTGGCTATCGTTATCTGGCAAGTGAATTCCTTGATTTGCAGCCATGATTTTTGTCATTTTTCCTTGACTTTGCAGCATATTTTCTAGTTTTGTGATATATTCAATTGCACTTCTCAAAATTTCAACCTAAAGTTCAAAAGTTTAGGAATATTTTTTCTAAAGTATTTCCAAAAATTGAAGGATCGAAGGGTTTTTTTGCAACTTGATTAGAAAGATTCTTGCCCAAATTCGTTATTTTAAAAAAATTTCATGTTATAAATGAAATAGGAAAAAAACAAATAAAAATAACCTTTGGTAATCTTTGGTTGGGATTAGGACATGTCCTTTGTTTGACCACTTCAAATGCCTCATTTACTTTACGCAATCGCCGCCTTTCGCGCATTGTTGCTGCTTTCCTCCTGTCCACTACAACTTTGCAATATTAGCAATACAATTCTAACAATTTATTTGTTTGTCCTTAAACGAGTTAAAGATGATTAAACAAATAAGCTGCCAACAAAAAGAAGGAAAAAATTAAATAATAAATAAATAGCACGAGTTAACGCTCGTGCAGACAACTTTCAGTGAAAGGTTGAAACTCTGATTTTTTAACTGAGCTGATTGTTAAATGATGTTTGAATAGACCTAAAAACTTACACCGCCGTGGTACTGATGTAGGTTCAGCATGTTGCTGCACAACGGTTGAAGTATTAGCAACATCCGCATTTGTCTGAATTAACTCCCCATGCGGTTCTGGGATATCGCTGGTTGAACCACCTGCTGCCGAAATTAGTTCTACTGCTAAAACTTTTTTATAATTCAACTTATAACCTCGCATGCAGTATAAAGTTTAACAATAAGAGCCTAACATTTTTGTATTACAAATTTAGCCTCTTCCACCAATAACATATAATAGCTTATATATTATATTTAATAATGTATAAGTCTGGAGAAAGTAAGTGATGACTTGAAAGAACAAAACAATGAAGCAAAGTATGTTAAAGTCTCAACTGTATGCTATGAGATATTTCTATAAAAAAGATAATGAGAAGTAGTGATATTGTTATCAGGATTAATATTATTATCTTATGACCAAGGGATATTGCACAAAATATTTTAGAAATGACAATCCAATTAACATTTAGAATTTATGCATGTTTTTGCAAAATTGCTGCAATTCGATGAATTCATTTTATTGAAAAATACTAGCAGTTGATTTCTAATTTTAAATTAGGCTGAACTAGAATGTTTGGTTAAATGGAATTAAAAAGATCAGCAAAATTATAAACAACGTTCTGTAACAAACACTAGCTGTCATACGGATTTTGTTTTTTCATAAACATTGCAAATTTAAAAGCCATCAAAGCCATAAATATGTTTGATTTCTCGAAGCAAAAACCAAACATTGATTTTTGAAAACGAAGCTGGACCCAAAACACTGCCCTTAACATTGCTTAAGACATCAGTTTAAATAAGTACATAGAAAAAATGAACCATGCTCTTTAACATCTTGTTCCTGCTTGATATCCTTCGTAATTCCAGAATCAGGTCGAACTGATTTCGGGAAGTCTACATTGTTCCGATTTGTTGAAAACGGTGTTAAATCTGTGGCATAGAAGGATGTTGAGCCAGCAGTCGGACCATAAGATGGATAGTAGGAGGGATATCTATGAAGTAGGAACTTTTTTGAAGTGAAGTGAAATAATGAAATAAATGTTATAAAGAAAAGCTTTCGTATTACAAATCAATGATGCAAAAAAAATTTTTTGGATAGTATGCTTCAAAAATAACACATCCTGACTTCTGAATTTTAAAATTGATTTTCTAACTCAACGATAGATCCGATCAATTGACATTTCATAGTAAAATCATATAATCAAACGGAAAACTGCTTAACTACCCTTACTGTAAACAATGAAGCAAATAGTAGAGGGAATGATATGATTGTGATCGTTCTGCTTATGGCATCTGCTTGCAGCTTAAATGGAATGATTCATAGTTCCGATTAAACACAGGATTACCTGTACGGGTCATAAGTAGAAAGGGCATGTGCAGATGAATATTCTCCAAGAGGTGCTGCTTGAGGTGCAAAAGGTGTTAAAGTCGTTATATCCGGCGCTGCCGTTATTCTTGCTTGTGGTTGCGTGTAGCCGTATAATGGATCGTATTGACACCCTTCTGGGTTCATCTGCAACTATAAAAAAAATAAGTTCTTTAAACCATTTGATGATCTATTTATAAATTTGCTGTATTGTTTACTTGGTTTATTCACTCAAATATTCATCAAAAATCTCATTCCGGTTGATTCGATTTTTCCAAATGAGCATTCTAAAAATCATCATTTCCTTGATATTTTATATCGAAAGGATTTTTAGGCTGAAGTGCCTCGTAATATACGTTATAAGTCAACATAAACCATAGACCATAATAAAAATGTTTGTATATTTAACATATGCAGTTCTCTTTGTATTTTACAAAACTAATAAAAAAGAGGCTAGTTATGATTATAATGAAATAGTTGTGAGACTAACCAAAAAAGCGAAAATCGCTCAACATAGGTATTTCTGGAAGCGAGTTCAGTCTTCCTATTCAAGAGAAATCTGGCTCGAAAATTTAATTTATTCAATTTAATTAAGCAGTTAGTTATTCAAGGAGACGTGTATATATTCAGGATCATGCAATTAAGTTTAAACACTACAAGACAACCCGAGCGGTAACTGATTAAGGCTGTTCTTCAAAGTAATTTAAATAGGTGCAAAGTTGTTCTGCATGTTTCGTCCGAGATGACGATAGACTAGACTGGCAGATAGGCTTAAACTAAAACTGAAACTTATACTAGAAATAAGCCAGTTGGCGCGCCATCTGTGGCAACAGGCGGGGACAGCTGTATCACCATGTTGAAACTCTAACTCCTCGGCCGAAGAAGCACATATGTTCCATGGTCAATTGTTGCCGAATTGTGCTTAAAGGCCAACTGTTGTGGTTGTAGTGGTAGTGGTGGTGGTAGTGCTGACATGTATGTATGTGTTAAGCTTCAGTATAAAATAAAATAGCTGCATTAGAGTTAGTAACATCATTATCCCACTCTTATTCAACATCATTCTCTTCATCAGCATTTACATCCATCCAGGAGACTTACCTTTCAAGCTTTTCACTATCTGCAGAACCCTTTTCACTATCCGGTGGTTTTGCTCCGTGAGCAGGTTCACTTCTCTCCGGAGAACAAATGGCGTAAATTTCGAAGTGACGAACAAGACGGAAGATGGCTTCGATTCGACAGCTGCTACCTTCAGAAATAACAAAAACGTCCACTACCAACAACTGACTTTGGGCCAACTGTTCATTCCTGAAGGAAGGCGAGGCATCCCGAGCTAATCTCTGGCTAACTTCCCAGCTAACTACTGTACTCCGCCCTCCTCTTTGGAATAAATTTGTTGAAATCCAACTACAAGAGAAGTAAGATTCGTCACAGATTATACGAAATGGGGAGAAGCAAAGAAAGAGGGAGCTGCTCGAGGCGGTTGTGCAATATAGCAACAGCTATATCAGATCAGCAACAGATACTACCCCCTAAAATATTTAACCTCCCTTTATTGTCCTTTAACATCAAATCATCCTACAAAAGATTTTTTTTCATAGGACCGACTTTTGAGAATAACTTTACGACAATGGGTACAACGGAACAAAATTTATAGCTTGAAAAGAAATAATCCCAAGTATTAATAAATTGTTATCGATACAGAATCACACCAACAGACACATAAATACGAACATTACATCCAGGTTGCTTCCTGAATTTGAGTTTAAAAGTTGTTCATAGAGAGAAGAAGAAATGGAAAGACGACATCTGAGACAATAATGATCATATATCTTGTTTGATCCTTTGTGACAGCTCTTCAACTTACGATTGTTCTACAACTGTCCAGTTCGAGGATCTAATAATATTTGTTTGTGACCCTTCTTATCAGTAGGTTCAAGATATCTCCTGTCCAGTCTTCGTTCAGTTGCTTTATAGCTAGAAACCCTTTGTCCTGAATATGCCATTCTTTGTTGCAAAAACCGTTTAAATCACAAATTTTGACACCTTGAAATATTTGAGACTGAATCTGGGCAACTTAGATCAATAAAAAGTCTATTCGAAGCTGACATATGATTTGTCTCTATAAGATCAATCTCGGCAGATCTACAAGACTCTTATTACATTAACCAATCCTCACATGCTTATAATTTGGAGAGTAAATTTATCTAACTTTTGTTAGGAAGTGGAAAGTTTTGTGAATATGTAAAACGGAATTCTTCCCTCAGTACTCCATAAGTTTCTATATTTAATCTGCTTTCCTGAAATTAGATGATTTCATAAGTTTCTATAATCATCCAATTGACTGATATTCACAGGTTGCTTTGTTTGTTATTCTTTTACAACAAATCTTTGGAATTTATTTTCAACATTCAAGTTATTTTTTTTCACTTCAAGAAGTTTTTCGATTATAAACATAAACCATGCATTAAAAAGAAATGAACTTTAGTGCTAATGAAATCGTAAAATATCCAATAGATCAACTACCAGGAAAGATGATAATTGACTGTCTCCAAACAAAGTTAGTATTAATGCTAACAAGAGATTTTCATTATTGTTCATTTTTCCTTCACTTTTAAAAGTGTTGTTGCTCGCTCGATTTTATTTATTCACATAAAATATTATTGTTACATGACGTTTTCTCCATTTTATTTTTCTCTCCTTCTCTTTCTTTCCCTCTCTCTCTATGTTTGTTGCTTTTGTGACGTTTCATCTGTCATTCAATTTTAAATCGGTCTGTAACAAAATTTTTGCATATTTTTATTTTTATTTTTAGAAGCATTTGCATATTTTTACAAAGATTGCGCGATCATCCACAGTTTCCTTATCCCAAATTTAAGGAATTATTTGACGAAATTTTGTGATAAATTCGGTTGAAATTTTCTAGGATACATTGCTCATGAAAATTTTGTCTTTTTAACTAACTTTACTACTTTAATACATTCAATTCAAATAGCAGAAGCTGTTTCTGTCAGTTTTCGAGTTCAATAAATGTGTCCACAAATTGGCTGTTTGAGTCATATTAGAAAAAATGTTAGAGTTCTTGACCTTTCTGATTATTTTCCCGTTCCTGAAATATGGCAACGAAAAAGGGTAGAGCCGATTAAGTATTACAATTCATCGCGTTTAGCAGTGCCCTGGCACAGAAATAAAGTTTTCTTGTCGGCATATTAGATGTCACTGAAGATTCCTGTTCGTATTACGGTACATTAGCTGCTGAGTTTCTGCTTCCGCTTTAAGCGGCACTTTTCTCTCCAGTGATATGTGAACTTAGATATTAGTAGCGATTGGTTCCAAGTGAAAATTAATCCGCACGGGTGTTAAATAAATAACACCAAAATTACTTTTAGACGGAAATATAAATGTAAGTTTTCGCAAGATATGCGTACTATTGCGATTTCTTGGCATGGAATCTAGCATCACTTCGAGGTTGCCATCCTGAATTCTTTTAGCAGATATATCTGTACTTCTAGATCAATTTTGGACAGTAATCAACATGTTTTTATTTGTCATTTTGCTGTTTGCCAAACTATGAATTTTCAGGGAAGCTTATTTACCGATACGCCTTCACGAAAAATTGTTTCAAACAAAATTTCACCGAAGATGAAATTTTGTTGGTATATTCAGTATAGTCGAAGTATAGTCGATATATTCATAATTCCAAATGATTATTATCTTTGGGGATAAGGTTTAATCTGTACACTTGTATGTTCACAAGGATCTGCGTTGGTACCAAAAATACGATCCTAATAAGTCCTGGTTAAACAGATATCGTTCTGTTTTAACTATTGCGATTGGTGTATGTTCAATAAGAAGTTATCAAATATTAGTGAAGCTATTGTGATCTGCTCGGATTTCACTTCTTACTGATTTCAAGTTTTCACTGAGATTTGATCTGTTTAGTGATAGCAGCTAACGATTAGAAATTAGAAGTACTTCAGAAAACAAATGAAAGCATCCAAGATGTTTTTTATTGCAAAAAAAAGTATGACGATTCAAATTTCTCAGTGAAAAAAGTGGGAAGTTATGGGAGCAACTGAAAATGTCGTAAATTTAAATGTGTCGCTTGCATTCATCGCTTCCTTATCAATTGATTGACAGGCATACTTGAACGAAAACCCTCGGCGAACCATTCAATCGCATCGATCTTTCTTTAGTTGACCCGTGCTCCATTCCTCACTTGTTGCTCATATTTTAGCTTACGGATTGGGGATCTCCAATGAGAAAAAGAACTGTTAGGTTCTATTTTTGGTAAAGAATACATTTTACAAATATTTCATTTATAATAAAGAAGATAGAAGCAATCCAAAGTGATATCTTTCATTTCAGTTTTAATTTTTATTTTGTTTTGGATTAATAAATTTACAAAAATTTAAAAACAGAGTTTTTTAATTTCTTTTTAAAATTCAGTAAAATAAGAGGATTAAATGACTTCCGGATATCTGTCTCAACAATAAAGAAGAAAAATTAAGAAGTCCATTATGATTTATAACTACGGCACGGTGAATCGACGAAAATTTGTTTCGATTCACCAAAGTTCTGGACATTTAAAAAGGAATTAATTAGTATAACTAAACGGCCTTTGTGAAATTTTTTATTATCTCTTATTTTAAGAAAAATGTGTTATAATTTCTTCAGTAAAAGTGTTGAAAGTGTTAATTAATGGTTTTATTTGTGATTGAATCAAGAAATCAAGAAATCCTTTATTCGTTCCAGAGTCACAACATCTATAAAAATATACAAAAATAAAGAGTGATCAACTTGACTTAGAACATTAAAGATATCGACATTAGTAAATCTCACAGACATTGATGCATCATCAATAACATAGACGTGATGTTTCAAAATGCGCCCTCTTTCATTCGTTTTTCCCGAACTTCCAGTTGTGCGACATACTGCGCACTAGAGAAGTTATGAACCAGAAGCCACGAACACCGTGAAATATACGTTTATACATAAGTGAAAGAAAAGAACTATTGGCTTAAAACTTGATTAAACAGGTCAGCCAAAAATCATCATTTAATGAACAATGACATTTCTCAGGTGGTGTGTGTCTTAACTGCACACCTTTCTGAAGGATGAATAGAATGTCCCGAAAAAGATCGAAACATTATAAAAAAATCCATTATTGAATTGAACTAGAACTGCAATTGAACTAAAACGTATCTTGTGCTTCTAAACAGGTAATGTCGATTTAATTCTCTCGTAACAGAGGATAAAAAGACTAATAAGTAAAAAAAAATTTCGTCACATAATTCTAATTGTTTACAACTGCTATTATCTGTCACCATAACAGAATACAACTGTTGTCGCCATTATCAGTGTAAAGATTCGATCTGGGAATATCAGCTGGTCGCAGCTTCGTACCACTTACTTACTTTTGGCGAGCCTTAAATCAGCATCTGTTTTGTATGCCACATATGTAGTTGGTAAATTTTCATTCATTTTCAAGAAATTTGGACCCTATTTGATTTCAATGGAAGCACTTATGTATTGCTCTTTAAAGTTACCATAAGAGATCCTTTCGCATAAAACTAACGCATATCTCCTTGGGTGACGCTGCATAAAACTCAGTTTGCTGAAACTTATTAAAATTGTGATACCCGGTATAATTCAAATTGACGGTAATAAATGGAAACAGCAACGACGCTTTGTGCTTCGAGTATTACGTGATTTCGGAGTTGGTAGGATACTGATAGAACAGCAAATCAGTTGAACGCTCATCAGTTCGTTTATCACGCAGTATGAATATCTAACTTAAAAAGAATCAATTTTACAAGCAGCAGTGGGTCAGAAATTTACAACAATGAAGTAATACAAAAATATATATTATTTATAATAACAAAGTTTACTCTTTACGACAACGATTACAAATGTACGCAATACACGAGCTAAGTTCGCATAATAGTATGAGTTTACTTAAGAAACAATACACTGATTTTTAGAATTTATGACATTGTTAAATTCAACAGTGATGATCTACTTTATGTTACGTTAGATGTGTCATGAGCAAATAAATTATCCACAACTTAGAAAAATTACGTGAAAACATTCAGGAAGATGGCCACTGACACTATATCACTAAACCGGAACTATCACACATTCCGTGACACTGGACTGT